TGTGGCAAATGACTCTGATGCCGTGAAAGTTTCCCAGCTATTTCTATACTATTTTATATGTTGAAGAGAATAAGCATTCTCTTGGATGGATATAAAGAAAGGTTTTTAGAAACTGGTTTGAGAAAAGTTATGGATACAATATGGTCTCTGATAAGACATGAGTATCAGAACAACAATTCAGCTAAGTCTATGAGACAGGATTTATTTATTTTATTCTTAATCATAATATTTTAAATCATGCTGCATTTGATCCATACAAAATAGATGCATTATTAAATATAATTTTACCATATATACAGGTATCCCTAAACAATATATTGTTCACTTTTATTTTTTAGCTTTATGTAAGAAAAATGCATCATACTGTATTTCTCCTGTAACTTACTTGTATCACACAGGTTTGTTATATAAGTTAAGTTTGGGCTATTGGATAACATTATAGTTCACTGTTTTAAGGGTAATGTCCATTGTGTAAATATTTCAGCATGTATTCTCTTTTCTATGTTAAATGGACATTTGAGTTACTTTCGGTTTTTGATAATTATAACGAATGTCTGCTGCTATAAATATTCAGATACACAATTACTGGTATACCTGTGCAATTGTTTCTCTAAAATATATATCAAGAAGTATAACCACTGGGTCAGAGGGGATTTGCATGTTCATTTTCACGTGATATTAACAAATTGTTTTTCAAAGTGGTTGTACCAATAGATACTTCTATCAGCAGTATTTAAGAGATTCCTCTTATTCTCTATATCCTCTGAATATGTGAGATTGTTGAATTCTCCATGTTTGCTTATTCTGGAGTATCAAATATTATTCCATTGTGATCTTAATTTGCATTTTCTTGATACCAACAAAAGTGACCTTCTTTTCATACGCTTAATGGCCATAGGTATTTCCTTGTATAAAATGTTTGTTCAGGTAGTTTGTCCATTTTTTCTATTTTTTTCTATTTCTATTTTTTTCTATTTCTATTTTTTCCCTGTCCTTGTCTTACTTATTGGTGGGAATTTGTTATATATTATGAATGCTAATCTTCTGATTCATAGCCTCTCTCTCTCTTTTTTTTTTTTTAGACATAGAGAGATAGAGCATGGGGTAGAGGCGCAGAAGGAGAGGGAGAGAATCTTAATCTTAATCTTAGTGCAGTGCCGACTGCAAAGCTCAGTCTCACGACCCTGAGATCATGACCTGAGCTGAAACCAAGAATCGGACACTCAACCGACTGAGCCACCCAGGCACCCCATAGCCTCTCTTTTCAATCACTTCTGGTGTTTTTATGTGAACAAAATTTCTTAAACCTTATATAGTTAAGCATTTTAGTTAGTACGTAGAAAAACAACAATTGATTTTTCTGTATATTTGCCTCAGATCTTGCTAAGTTCACTAATTACCTCCAATAGCTTTTTTTGTAGATTCATCATGATCTTCTACATAAAACCCAAGTTTTCTGCAAGTAAACATACTTCTACTTAATATTCAATCCGGGTGACTTCACTTCTCTTTCTTGCCTTACTACATCGGCAAGATAATCCCAGGTCATGAGAATATATGCCTTTGCTTTCTTCTAATAGTTTTACGGTTTTGGCTCTTACTTTTAAGTCTTTGATCCATTTTTGAGTTGATTTTTATATCTGGTATGAGATAGGGGCCCAACCTCACCTGTTTGCTATGGCTATCCATTTATCTTACCATCGTTTGTTGAAAAGAATATTCTTTTCCCCTTGAATTACTTGGCACCCTTGTCAAAAATTAGTTGGCCATAAACGTACAAGTTTATTTCTAAACTCTAAATTCTATTCCATTGATCTATAGCACTATTCTTATGCTGGTCAAATACAGTCTCACTTACTGTAGTTTGTAGTAAGCTTTGATATTGGATAATGTGAGTACCGAGCCCTGCATTTATTTTTCAATATTGTTTTGGCTATTCTGAGTTTCTTGCATTTCCACATGAATTTTAAAAACAGCTTTAAATTTCTGCAAAAAAAGGCAGGTGGGATTTTGACCGGGATTGTGTTGACACTGTCGATCAATTTAGGGAGTATTGCCATTCTAACAATATTAAGTCTTCCAGTCAATGAACGCTTTCCATTTATTTAGGTTGTCTTTCTTTCAGTGATACTTTGTAATTTTTGTACTTCCTTTGCTAAATCTATTCCTGAGCATGTGCTTATTTTTGTTGCTATTGTAAGTGGAATTGTTTTGTTAATTTCATCTTTGAGTAGTTCATTGCTAGTGTGCAGAAATACCATTGCTTTTTGTATTGTAACCTTGTTATACTTGCTTGTAAGTTCTACTAGCTATTTTTGTGGATTTTTAATAATTTTCTACATAGGAGTAATATGTCTCTATGAATATATATACATATATATATATACATGTATATATATATATATTTGCCTGACTAGAACTTATGGTAAAATGTTTAATAGAAGTTACAAGAACAGACATTCTTGCTTTATTCCTGATCTCAGGGGAAAGCTTTCATTCTGTCACCATTTAGTGTGATGTTAGTTGTAGGTTTTTCATAGATGTTCTTTTATTAAGTTGAGGTAGTTCCCTTCTCTTCCAAATCAATGTCTGTCTGCCTTTTTTCTCTCTTCATATTTTTTATCTAGAATTTATCTATAACGTACTTAAGTGAAGTTTTACTTTGTGTTTATCTTCCTGGATTCATTGAGCTTCTTAGATCTGAAGACTGATACTCTTCTACAAAATTTAGAAAAATTTCAGCCCCTATTTCTTCAACTATTTACTCTTCCTTGATCTTTTTCTCCTACTCTTCTAGAACTCTAATATATTTTAGACCACTTGAGTTTCTGTTCATTTATATTTTAATATTTTTTCCTCTGTACTTCAGTTTGGATAGTTTCTTTTGCCCTACCTCCAAGTTCATTGATCTTAATGTCCAGGGTCCACACTTCTGTTAGGCCCAAACCTTGCAATTTTTATTCATATCTTGTATGTTTTTGTTCTACTTAATGGTTTTTTTTTTTTTTTGAGATTTGCCATGAGTTTATTCGCTATGCTCATTTTTTTCCTTGATAATCTTGAACAGGTTTGCAATAACTATTTTAGTCATTGGTTGCCAATTCAACATCTATGTCATCTCTGTTTTGTTTTGTCTCTGTTTATTGGATTTTCACTCATGTATTGTTCCTATATTCCACCTTCTTCACATATCTAGTTCTTATTGTTGTTTGTTTTTTATGCTGGGCTGCTATGTTATGAACAGATTTTGTTGTCTTCCTTAGAGAGCATTGACTTCTGTTCTGGCATGGAGTTAGTTATATCAAGGATGGGATTTTTGTTAAGGCTTTGTTGGAGTGTGTGTAGATTAGCCTTACCTTACTGGATGCAGTCATTGTTAGGCTCAGGCAAACACTCAGATGTTTAATGAGAACTCTCCTCTTTGGCTCGTCAGAATTCTCCACGATGGGGTAAAATCTGGAATCTCTGTTCAGCTCACACAGCTTCATGGTATTTGTTCTCTGATGGCCTTGCAAAGACTATTTGCAAGCACTGCATGGTATTCAACCCAAGATTTAGAAGAACCCCTATGTTGACTTTTAAGATGACATCTCTGCCACTCCCCCTCATTTTATGAACTTTATCTATATATTCTAACCACCTCAGCAGACCCAAACTCACATCTTTATTTCCTTCACCCAGTGCTCTCTCTCTTTGGGGCCCACGTCTTTGTGATGTAGTCTGAAAATTGTTTGCAGGCAGAAAACTAGATTCAATATGGAATTCACATCATGTTGTTCCCTTCTCTCAAAAAATCATTTCACTGCATTGTCTGTTGTTCAACATCTGATAATTATTGCTTTATATATCCTGTCTAGCTTTATAGATTTTTACCAAGGAAAGAAAGTAAATCTGATGCTCTGTAATGGCCAGAGCCAGAAATTTCTGAAATTTGTGTTTTTAGTTTATTACATAAAAAACAGGATAAGCTTATTCAACTTGTATCAAATTAAGGTTTGACTTAAAAAGGCTCTAAATCTGTAGATTAATTTGAGGAGAATTGATATATTTACATTGGCTGTTCCCATCCATTAACAGGATTTATTGGATTTTCTTTGGGGCTTTTCAATAAAGCTTAACAATTATATGTTATATCTTACATTTCTTTTGTTGGATTTAAGAAGAATAATGTTATTTTTGCTATTGTAAGTAGTACATTTTTTAAATTTATTATTGGTCCATTGAACTGTAACTGATCTTAACTTTGTGGCCATACATTTTTATTCAATTATAAAAAATTTATATTGATCTTAACTACATTGCTGAACTCTAATAATCATTTGCAACTGGACTATTTCATATTTTTTATTCACAATCATATCATCTGCTGCTAATAATAGTTATTTTTTCCTCTTTTTTTATTTTTACAGCATTTACTTATTTGCTTTGTCTTATTGCACATTGTTCAATAGAAGTAATGGACCTAGGTCTGAGTCTCCAATCTAAGTACTAATGCTGACATTTGCCATAAGGGCAGTCTTGGATTTTTACTTAACAAGTTCTGGTTTTAACTCTTATTTATTCTTTTTTTTTTAAAGATTTTATTTATTTATTTGAGAGAGAGAGAATGAGAGAGAGAGCACATGAGAGGGGGAGGGCCAGAGCGAGAAGTAGACTCCCTGCTGAGCAGGGAGCCTGATGCGGGACTCGATCCAGGGAGTCCAGGATCATGACCTAAGCCGAAGGCAGTCGCTTAACCAACTGAGCCACCCAGGCACCCCACTCTTATTTATTCTTAATTTACTTTGATCTTGTAGCATTTCTTTACTTTTTATGTGTACAGCAATGCCGTAACAAGTATGTTTTCTCTCATCTCCAGATATTTTAAGGCTAGATACCAATTTTTCAAAGTATCTAATCCACAACACCGACAGCAATAGATACAGACCTATGAAAATAATTTTAATGGAGAGAATTCTTTTTGATAATGATTTTTTTAACAAAAATTATCTCTTCCTTAGGAATTGGTGTGCTTATGTACATACCAGATTATCTCCCACAGTGATACTAGACAACCAAGTCACTTATATTCCAAGCGGGAGAGGGCCCTGTGGCTGGGCTGGTGGATCCTGTCCTCAGAGGTATGTGACATTTTTTGAAAATAGCCACTGCTTATACTGTATTTATGTATGTCTTGGAATATATAGAGAAAGTTAATCATCCCAGGTGCATATGTATGATAGGGGTAGAGTAAGGTCATCACAGTAAATTAGATGCATGATATGGGGTAAGTTAAAATGCAGATACCAATAATACATGCCTCATATGGGAGTTTTTAGAATATGTGAGATAATGCAGTAATAATATGCTTGGCCTAGGGACAGGTACTTTGTGAGTCTTTAATAAATGTTAACTTTTATGCTTATTTCCATTTTTACTATTACTCTTACCTTTATTCTATGAACTGATCAATAATCCTGTCCTTTAATTCTTATGAAATTCATACACAGTTTTAAAAATTTATTGATAATTTCTGCTTCATACTAGGTCAGAGAGAAGTCCATAACTTGGCAAGCCACCCTAATTGCAATTGTGCATGATCAAACAGCTAAATGGGGCCTTTCTTTATATGCCTATTTTAATGATTCATGTTATTTAATTTTCATTTATTCATGTTATTTAATTTTCATTTAAAAAAACCTATTTAGGACATTTAAAAATTGCTCAAATGAGGAGCTGAGTGATAAATTCTCTGAATTCATACAGTCACAGGAGCTTATCTGAGGGTGTTTCAGAAATAAAAACTAAAATTATTATTCAGGCCATGATGGCTCGTGTTATGCAAATTGTCATACAAATAACTCGGGCAATGAATCTGACACATTGGCAGGCTGGAACAGTGCACAGGAAGGATATGTAAAATCAAGGTGTTTCTTACTCCCTGGAGGAATAGCTGAGGTTCATGGTCCAGAGAGCTAAGCACATCTTAGGGATTTGGGAGAGCTGAGCTCAGTTCTGCTTTCAGCATTTACTCCCTTTGTGGCGATTTCCTTGTCGACATGAGATACAAAGAATGCATTGTTAGCTCTTCAGTAATGAAAATATTACCACAGTAACCCCATTATACTGTCCTCCTGAGTTCAAGGTGAGTTTTTCTTTCTCTCTCCCTCTCTCTCTTTAAACAAACCAGAAATATGCATTTTTATTCTCATCTCTTATCTTACTCTAGCTTTGAATGGGTCTCTCCATTCATGCATTATTTCAGTATATACGCAGTTTTTGTCACTCTCTCTTTTATTATGTCAGAGTCACATATAACAGGGATCTAGTTTGCTAAAGCAGGGACATTGACTCTAGTAATAATGTAACTAACTGCTTGAGTTCACCCTAATAAAGTCTACAGAGTCCTTTTCCAAACAGCCTTACTTTCTATTTAGCTTTAGCTACTGGGCTAGAGCTATTTCACTGGACAGAGTGACTTACTGAATATAATTTACTGAAATAAACACAGGTAAATGACTAACCTACTTTTAGAGATGGAAACAACTTATAGCTCATTTTAAAATTGAGGAATAACGTCACACATATTGAATTACCCTTCAAGTCACAGAAGAAACTAAAACCCAAGTCTCCTAAAGCCCAGTCGGTTCCAATACATTCCCTCCACATGATCAGGGTTTATCCAGGAAATTGACTACTGTTGTCCCCACATAGTTGTAGGGGACAAACTCTAGATAATAAAAGGGAGACTAACCCACGCAGCATGGATTAAAATCCCACTTGATCACTTTTAGGTTTGAGACTTTGAGCATGTTATTTCATCTCTCCATTCCTCAGGTTCCTCATCAGCATATCAGGATAATAATATTTTCCACATAGAACTAATAAGAAAATTAAACAAGGTAATATATACCCATTTCATAGGCCCACTTGATAAATATTAGCTAAATATTGAAGTCATAAGGTAAGAATAACATGGCCAAATTGTATTTATGATTTACATTTACATATATAGAGCCTACAATTTAGTACCATTCACCACTTATATTGATTGCTATGCTAAAATGTTATAGTTTCTTCATTTCCCTTCCACGGTTTCTTCTCAGAAATATTTTCTCATGGGTCCCTTCCGGAAATAGGAAGGAAGAGGGAAATACTCTCTCTCTCTCTCCCCCGTCTCTCTATCAGAGATAAATACCATATGAGAGGAATAATATTAAAAATTAAAATTTTTAAACTTGAGAAAGGAAAAAGTGCAGGTTAAAAATCATAGTGGTTGTCATAATTTCAGTTAGATCACTGATACACAGTTTAAGTTGTTTGATGTTGATTTGGGGGAAAACAGATCCTTTTAACTATAAGGATATAAGGAAGAATAAGAATTGAAATAAAAGAAATTGTCCTCATAAGCTATTTAAAAAATAGAATTAAAGTAAGTTTTAACATTTGTTTAGTAAAAAGTATTATAAAGGGAAAAGCTATACTACGTGTAGAAAATGTAATGATAGGTATAAACTTAAAATACCAAATAGCATAACTCTTAAAGCTCTTTGTAATTTATTTAAAGAAATGTAAGTTTAACAATAATATTGATGAGGGGCACCAGGGTGGCTCAGTTGGTTAAGCATCCGACTCTTGATTTCAGCTCAGGTCATGATCTCGGGGTTGTGAGATCAAGCCCCACATCAACTTTGTGCTGAGCATGGAGCCTGCTTAAGATTTTCTCTCTCCCTCTCCCCCTTCCCCACCCCACCCCGCCCCGCTCTCTCATGTGCTGTTTCTCAAATAAATACATAATAATAATAATAATATTGATGATGAAGATTATAATAATAATAACAGATAACATTTACTGAATGCTTCTTATATTTTAGGTGTCATCTCCAAAACTTTAATTATCCCAACTGATAATTTAATGTGAGACAAATAATTGCTCTCCCCTCCAGATCTCAGAAGATATCAAATCCTGTCTATAGGATGCAACATAAAATCGTTACCTCATTGGAATGGAAGTGCTGTCCTGGATTCAGTGGAGCAAAATGTCAACTAAAAGGTATATTCTAATAGTAATTTTATAATAATTAGAAGCATAAAACTTCTGAAGAATAAGCAATTGATTCCAGTGAAGAAAAGAGTTGTATTCTCCCTTTTGAACCAAAGTTATTGAACAGGTAGCCAAATCACTCAAACTGTTACCTCTCTAGAGCTTCCTAACTTAGTAGCTAGTTTAGCACCCTCAGTCTCGTAACAAGATGTCTTATATATTCCTATATTGTTATGTTAGTTTTAGAGGACTAGTAAGTTGAGATCTATCTCACTTTTTAACTATTTGCTTTGGAGGCATGCCTTATTAAAATATCAGAAATCCTAATTTTATATTTTAAATAATCATTAGAAGTGACCCTATATGAAAATAAAACTACCTCCTAGTTTTTTCCAGTTCAATTATTTGAAATAATATTATGTATATGAATGAAATTCACTTTTAAAGAATATACAAATGTGGCATGAATAATTGTGCTTTTCTTCTTAAATCCTAATAGAGCCATTTTATCAACTGTGATTTTAAAGATTTTCTGGTGGCAAGGCTAATCAAACACATGGTAACCTGCTGTGGCCTAACATCTGTGTGGCTATTATGTTGCTTTTGGCTTTAAACAGGTTTCCTTTGAAAAATAAGATATGGCATCAGCATACATATTTTAAATGAATGAATATTACAAGAAAGACCATTAGCAGTGGTGAGGAATTCAATCAGCAGCGTGAGAGGCTGTGATTAAAAATTAATGTAAGTGTGGAGAAACCATTATGATTCACATTTAAAAAAAGAAAGTTGTAATACAAAAGCGCTTGGAAACTTGCAGCTTCGTTAGGGATGTTATATATGGTTTTTCTAGCCCATTCAGTGAGAATCTGTAGGCAAATTCAACTGTAATGCTATTTGTTCTGGGTCTGGCCTGAATTTCAGAGATGTTATAAAAATTTAATACATTTTCTGGATATAGTATGAATATGTACTTCATTTACAATCAGGTAAAATAAACTTTATTTATTTATTTATTATTTTATTTTATTTTGTTATGTTAATCACCATACATCACATCGTTAGTTTTTGATGTAGTGTTCCATGATTCATTGTTTGCATAGAACACCCAGTGCTCCATGCAGTACGTGCCCTCTTTAATACCCATCACCAGGCTAACCCATCCTCCCACCCTCCTCCCCTCTAGAACCCTCAGTTTGTTTCTCAAAGTCCATAACTTTTAAATAAAATATCATCTATGCAACAGTATTTAGAAACAAGGTAATTTAGCATATTCTAAAAATGTCCACATGTGATCGTGCTTTCGCATGATTCCTAACTTATGTGAGGTGCACAGGTATATTCCCAGTGGTAAAACATATTTGTTTATAATCTGTATATAGCAGATGGTTAAAAGTTCTGAACAGTATTTAGAATTATATTTCTAAAGTCTAAGGTTAGTTTTTATATTTTTCTTCTTTCATGCATAAGATCTTGGGAGTATTAATTCCATGAAGGCTATCTTAGGAGTATTAATTCCATTATTATTCTTAAAGATTCAAGCATTTGTTCACAGCATACCTTTCTAGAAATTTAGAATGTCATTACACACCCTGTTGCACCTATGGAACTGAATGTTGATAAATCTTTATGTCGAAAAATGTCTTGGGCTGAGGCTGATTAAGAACTGCCGTTACTTCATACTTTGTCCTTTTATACCTACTAATCAATTATTAATCACTAAGGTGGACTATAAACATCTGTGAGGAAAAATCATAGAATTCCATCATTATAAATGTACACACAAGAAACAAGACTAGTTGACAGTTTTGAATATCTACTAAGTATTGCTATTCCCTTTTTTTCAAAGCATCACATGAAATATTTAAATTGAATTCAAATAGTTTAGCTTTGATTATTTAGTGACATCTCATGTTCTATTTGGACGCAACCTGTGGATAATTTTAATACTAGATTTACAAATCATTATCTTGAATCCCATTAGCAAAAATGTCCCAGAACAGATCTGACTATGACCTTCTGTCACAGTACTATAATCAGACTTACTCATAATTAAGGCATCTGCTGATTAAGCTTTTGTGGAAAGGTCATCTTTCTATTGAAATCCCCGGTAGGAATAACTTTCTGATGGCAGCTATGCCCATTGTGTCATGTCATAGAATCAACTCGATATCACTGTGATTCCAAAAAAAAACCCTACTGTCGCTCCCTACAATGTTCTGAGTGTCCTACTCTTCACTTTTATTGCAGTACATAAAAGCTGTTGAATTTTTTATTAGTGCAGTTGATGCACTGGTAGTATCAAGAACTACCGTGTCGCTTTGTCCCTTGACTCAGTCTTCATTATTTCATCTATCCTAGGTTTGTTTTCCTTCCTGCCTTCCTGCCTTCCTTCCTTCCTTTCTTTTGTTCTTTCCTTCTTTCCACATTTTCCCCTTCTGATTCCTCCTTCCTACATTCCAAGTCCCCCCCACCATCACACTTCATATATGTGCCAACAGTCTCGTTCTTATATGGAAGGGAAAATCGTCAGGTTTCCTTTGACAACACTCTCCACGCTGTCTCATATGACAAGCAGCCCCAAATATGACAAGAATAATCAGTGTGGCTCATCCATTCTTTAAACTTCTTCAGAGCCCTCAAGGGTTTGGAATAACATGGTCATGTAGCTTCTGTGATTACTTCAGTGTTAGTCCTTCACATTGGGAGATTATTTTATCCATAGAAAATTTGTAAAATACTGCACGAATTTTACAAATCCCTACTTCCCCCAAAAGTTCCATCCCCACAAATAAAATAAATGTCATAATACAAAAATAACAATTTTTTTGTTGTTGTTTTGTTTTGTTTTACTTTTTATTGTTATGTTAATCACCATACATTACCTCGTTAGTTTTTGATGTAGTGTTCCATGATTCATTGTTTGTGCATAAGACCCAGTGCTCCATGCCGAACGTGCCCTCTTTAATACATTGCAGTAGGGTGATCTTTTTAAAAATACAGGGAAAATCCATAGAACAGGAATAAAATGGAACAGCTAGCAACTGTACTCTCTTATTTCTCCTCCTCCACTTCTCTGCCTTTTTCTCTTTTTCTTTCTCCCCCCAACCCCAAAGCTCCATCTCCAACCTGTTAGAAAGGGATATTGTGATTCAAAATCCATGAGGCAATTCATCCCGCTGTCTTACTCTACAATATGCTGTTTGTAATATTACTGAACCTCCATACTTGCTCATTTTGCTACAATTTAGATAATCAAAATTCTGGTAAAATGTTCTAGATTAGTATATTAAAAATATTAGTCATACTAGCTAGAGGAAACCAAATTTTTTTAAAAGTCTAAGTGAATAGAATTTTGTTGGATATAAAAAGGAAGAAGCGTTAAGTCCAACAACAAAGTAATAGTTTTGATGTATTTTACATTTGGTATACCTTTTTGAGGATCAAAGAGTTTATCTTCAGAAAGGGACCTAATTTTATGATGTGGGGTCCAAGACATTTTTTTGGAATGTCAGCAACAATATACTTTTCAAACCAATTTTATAAAATTTGCAAAAATGTGCTTTTCCAGTAGATGTCTCTAAAATGTTCTTGAGTAGAACAAGGAAACTGGCTTGCTCTAATGACACAAAAGACAGGAATTTAAGTTCAAATAATGTTCGATTAGAGAGGAGGAGAGAAAAACTTCTTTGTAAATCTGTTAAAAAAAAATCCCAGTCAGCTTTAGTCAGATCCTCTCTATAGGAAAATTATGTTTTATGAAATGTATCACAGATATTATATTATGAATGCTGAAAATACAATCATCCAGTTATTGAAATAAACTGACCCCTGCCATACGTTATGAATATATAAAAATATTTCATTTCACAAATGCTATGAAATAATTCAGTAAATTTTATAAGCTATTGTAACTAGCATTTTAAATATGGGACATCTCCAGTAAAATTATTTTAAAATATGACTTCAATTAATATAAATATTTAAAACAGAAAAAAGTCCCTGTATTTCTTATATATCTGCATATCTAATTCATTCCAGTGGCATTTAATGCTTTCTCCTTTTAAGAAAGAACATTACCATCTATAAGCATCTTGCTCAATTATGATACATTTAGTCAAAAATCACCATGTATCTTAGGTCTTTGTTGCACCAAATTGCTTTCTTTGGTTTGACTACCAAATCTCAGTAAATCTTTATATTGTACTGACCAACACCAAATAAGCATTCACTTATCCTGGTATCGCAGGATCAGCAGGAAACTGGTCTTGTCACACAGGAAGGTTTTTGGTTCTAAGAGCAAGAGCAAGCTTCCTCATTACTGAGTTGCCATTAATGACTTCCTCTATATGCCTCAAAGATCTGGAAGAAAAAAAAAAAAACACTCATAGGTAACACCTGTCTACTAAAAGGAGGAGGAGGAGAAAGGAAAGAGAAGAGGAAGGAAGGAAGGAAGGAAGGAAGGAAGGAATAAGCACCTAATAACCAAGTTGTTGCTCTTGACACTTGCTGACCTTGCTTCTCTAAGTCCTTGATCCACCAAGGTTAGAGTTTCCATGCAGGGAAAAAAGAGGAATTGTATTGAGGGAAAAGAAAAAAAAAAAAAAAAGAATCTGATGTTTAAAATATATTGCATTTTTAAAAAAAATCTGAAGCACATAAAGATCTTTAAAAGTTATTTGACTTAATCTCTTCAACAATGGTGTTGGGAAAATTGGACAGCCACATGCAGAAGAATGAAACTGGACCATTTCCTTACACCACACACAAAAATAGACTCAAAATGGATAAAAGACCTAAATGTGAGACAGGAATCCATCAAAATCCTTGAGGAGAACACAGGCAGCAACCTCCTCGACCTCAGCCGCAGCAACTTCTTCCTAGACACATCGCCAAAGACAAGGGAAGCAAGGGCAAAAATAAACTCTTGGGACTTCATCAGGATAAAAACTTTTGCACAGCAAAGGAAACAGTCAACAAAATCAAAGACAACCGACAGAATGGGAGAA